AATTTATCTTACCTGAGAATTTGCAATATCAACATTGGCCCCATGGTTAACTAGTACACTGACTGCCATGTGATTTTTTGCTATAACTGCCCAGTGCAATGCTGTGTTACCATGTAAACGGTCTGCCATAGAAGTACTAGCGCCAAAAGTCAGAAGCAGTCTTGTGGGATCCAGGCTGCAGTATTATAGGAATAGAGTATATTTTAAAACATGATTTAATAAAGAAAAGGAGAAAATAAGTGTTTTATCAACTCCTAAAATGAATCTATAAATCACTTAATGAGTTACTACTACTGCACTCAACTTTGTACAAAATCAAACAATATTAATCACATCTTGCTCTATACCCTATTGGAAGTATTCTAGCCACTGTGACCAAAAATATATTTCATAAACAATAAATCACAACAAATCAACCCAAAAAGCTGACCTGGTGACTCTGTATGCACTCCACATGAGAGGTGTCATCCCATTCTTGTCCATGAGATTTACATTGGCACCCTTTGCTACCAGGTAAGCAACAATAGCTGTATGACCAAACTGTGCCGCCAAGTGTATGCAGGAACAGCCCTCACCATCACGCATTGAAGAATCAGCCCCATACTTCATAAGTAGCACAACCATACCTAGGTGGCCTTGTCTGTGAAAAATAATTGATACAATTCACATTAAAAATATCTCATTTATATCACTTTTTTATTTTTTTTATAATAAACACACAATGTTATTATAATGTCTTACCTTGTTGCCCAGTGCAGAGGTGTAGACATAAGCTCTCCACCTATGGCATCTACTATTGCTCCTTTAGATATGTAGTATCTGAAATAAGCATGTCATAATATTTTTTTGTTTGTTTTCCTGCATGTTCACATATTGTTATCTATATTCATTTAATCTAAGAATAAACTGTTCAACATCATTGTACCTCACAATATCTCTTCTGTTGTTGATCGATGCCCAGTGTAGTAGTGTGACATTTTCATTATCTCGTTTATTTATATCATAACCACCTTCAATCAATTCCTTACATCTCTCCAAAGCTCCGTACTGAAAAATATTGTCAAATATATCAAAACAGAAGAAGAAATATAATACCAAAATTTTACAAAATAAACTGGAACCATATCCTGATTAACTTTCAGTGAGGGGAAGAAAAAGCAATTCAGTATATCAAGTTTACTCCAAATTATGCCTACCTGTGTTGCTTTGACAATGTCAAATGAAGAAAAATCTGAGTCATTCGTGGGCCGACTGCTAGGTTCTGAATTCTGAATGCTCCCAGCAGCATCATCTGTCTCTCTCTCGACGCCATACATACCACTTGGATTGCAGGCATCCTAAAAAAGAGAATCTTTATCAGCTAATAGGAACTGAGAATAACCATTTTAAAATATGGAATCTTAAAATGACAATCTAATCATCATTAATTCATTTGTGCTGAGATAACATATTTTTTAGCTTCAGCCAAGAGCACAGAGAGTGGTAATTTTGTGTTTTCTGTGCTTCTGATTTTTTCCCTAGAGCAGTTAACCACATGCACCCAGACACGTAGTTTAGTTTTGCAATGGGGGATCCCATCATGATTGTATTAATCGTTATACTATAGAGTTGGTTACATTTTCTTATCCTTATCAAGTTTGCCTAAGCTATATATATATATATTTTGTGGCATTCCAGTAAAATATATATCACCAAATTGACACCAAAATCAAATAACTGATACATAGAAAACTTTCAGAGCAAATTAACTGAGCCTGCTATATTTATCACTAAAATATCTAGTTTCTGATGTTTTTGCTATTTTTTGTTTTGAGTTAATTCAGTGGCTAATCTCATATGCAGCCATATTTGCATAGTGAACTTGGTAGTTCTGTGATGGGCCCTAAGACATCTAAAATATTATAGTTGTGGCAAAAACATCTAATATCATCCAAATAATGAATATGATTACCATAACCAATACTAAGTTTTCCATCACTTATAACACCTTACAATTACGAGTATAATTCTAAATATAAAGATATACCTAATTATCATTTAAAAATCTTCAGCCCTATTGACAGCCTATCATCTTGTTAACTTAATGGCTAAGCATCTGGCCTGATACCAGGGATTTAAATTGTATTGACACTCTAGGTGGCATTGACAACTTTTCTTTTAAGGTGCACCAAACAGTGCAGGAAAATTGTGTACTACAAGTTTTTATAAACCAATAGTTTTCCAAAAATAACTAGAAACTCTTACTTTATCATACTGTCAATAAAGTTCCATGGAATAGGGGAAGACGCAGAAAGTAACATACTGAAATCATTGAACTAACACTACATGACCACACAAACAGCGACTCGAGTATAGTATGTTTGTACTATGGTGAACTTGGTAGTTTAGGCCCCCTACATCAGCATATTAACAGATATTGCAGAGGTCAAGAGAATTGACTTTTCGAACAATAATTGGGGACTTTGTGATATACAATTAGACAATACTAAAAATTGCTCGA